TATTCCATCTCTCTAAGACAATGAAAACCTGTATTTACACTGATGTTTTATATCCATCCTATCTTAAAACATTATAGATGATGATATGAAAACATTCCACTGATGACATAGCATGGTAAATATAACCATACTGTCTAAAATGCATAAACCACTCTGATGGAAGAAAACAGTGTTTTCAAACTCAAAGACTACACTTACTACCGAAGAAACAGAGAGAACCCCAACCTAAAGGGATTTTACATCTCTAATCTATTGATATACAGTAGCTTCTGGCTGATTCTATTCCCTTTGTCTCATTGTTCCCTAGCCCTCTGGTCCCTCAATAGAAACTATTGGTTTCCCTCATGAGGGAATAAACATCTATTGCCAAAACTTGTTTTTCTCCCCCCCACCCCACCATTTCAATTAACAGCCAAAGCTCATTACGTTAAAACGAAGAAGACGAATGTATGAGTTTAAGGACAAGGCAGCTGCTAATACGTTTAACACACAATCGCTTTTCCAAAGACACCCTGTTTCCCCCAAAATAAGACCTAACCTGAAAATAAGCCCTAGTAGGATCTTTCAGGATGCTCATAGTATGAGCCCTACCCCAAAAATAAACCCCAGTTAAGTGAAATCTCACCCTCCACCCTTGTGCAGCAACCAGAAGAAGATGACATGACTGTATTTGAATAAACGTACTGTAGATTGTTGTACATGAAAAAATTAAAACATCCCCTGAAAATAAGCCCTAATGTGTTTTTTGGAGCAAAACTTAATATAAGACTTAATAAGTCTTATTTTTGGGGAAACAGGGTAGTATTTTTATACATTGCTGTATTAGAAAATGCACTGATATACTGAGATTAACATTTTGACACTGGTAATATTTCTCATTTCAGTAACTGTTGGTGTAACTGTTGAGATATTTTTCCCCATCTGAGAGTTGTCCTTTTTTGGGGGGCGGCGGGGGGGAGGAGAATAACATTTACAAAGAATTAGTCCAGCAACATTTCAGAATCTTGGTGCAAAGTTAAAGGCAGCCTGTGATTAGAAGACAAAAATCCTTAACTACCAAACATCTCGGAGTGTCAAAGTAAGAGTTTCTCTTACTACCAGGAATATGCAGAGTAGCTTGCTTTGTTTGGTGGTTTCCTTGCAAGCCTTATTTCACAAACTGAGAAGACTGCCTTAGTCACTTCCGTCCATTACTAATGTATATTCAGCTCCAATTATAGGCTATTCATAACATTTTTTTCTGGCCTTGATTCACAAACTGAAACACTCCAGCTCAAGGACATGTGCATAAACAAACACACACCAATGTCTGGTGACACACAGAGCAGGTACTAAAGCTATCAAAGCTTCATGGAGAGCAATGTTAGCGAGATAGTTTTTCCTGCTGGAGTCTCATTTCTGAAGCTACTCTAACAGCTAGCCATTCCAAGTAACACAGACTGAGTTCTACAGTTGTTGACACTGCCACATGAAACTGGAATTAGGCTGCTGTGTACCTTGATTACTAACTCATAACTTGCCATACTTGGTACAGTATGTTCCCAATCCTTCCATTTCTAGACAATAAAACTGTATGCTCATATCCTATTTAAGTGTACTAGAAATGGCGGCATGAACTTTCCAAGAAATGAAGCAATTCCTGTGACTTTTATGTTGTTTTAAAATACATTCTGTGTTTCCACTTAAATAAAAAATCTGAACGGAAATTTTAAAAGCACACTATGAATGTACAGATAGAAATTAGAACAGATAATGGAATAGTTTTAAAAAAGCAAAAAAAAAATCAAGTGAAAGGAAACCAGATCAAATACGAGGCAAAGAAACCAATCTGGCTATTGAAAGCCCTGATGCCTGAATAACACAACTTCTGGTGGATCATGACACTGTTTGGGGAGCAAATGTCACAAATGGGGGCTGTACTACCGAAAATGTCCTCTCTCCAGTCAAAATCTGCCTGATGTCTAATGGAAAGGGGAGCAGAAGATTAGCTGTAACAGAGATCTTGAAAAAAACAGGCAGGCTGATACAGGGATAGGTATTATGCAGGAAATGTCCCTAAGGGCTTTAGATACCCATGCGAACAATGCCAACTGACCTGGGTGAATGTTCTTCAAACTGTACTGGTGACCCACTTTACTGTTAAGAAAATATGAAAGGCTCTTCAGTACAATCTTCAGGCTGTGGCAGTTTGCCACTCACATTTATTCTGACCGAGTTACACAGGAATATTTTTTTTACTGGACACTAGCCATTATGTAGGTTTGGTGCCTGCCGTTCCAGGGTTACAATGATGTCATCTTTGTCCTGTTTTCTAGCCCATGTCCCATTGTCTTGTGTCTCTTCTATTCCATCCTATTCTGTGAATTCATACAGCCATACTTGTCCATTATGGACTGTAAACCTCTAGTAACGAGTAACCATATGTGAAATACCATCATAAACATTACAGCCAGAATGTTCATGCAGCAGCATATGAAACACAGAACCTTTCCAATGGAAAAGGATCCTGTACACAGTTATGAGCAGCCAACTGTCCGTTATGCACACGTGGACCAGCTCAATATTTTCCCACTCCTTTTTGCTTATCTTCATTCTCTCTTCTTCACTCTAACCATCATCTTCAATCATACCCTCTCTCAACTCATTTTCTCTGTCATCTTGATCCCACTGTTGAGATTTCAACAACCTTCCTGTCTCCATTCGGCAGTCTGCCTGTCATCCATGTTGGTAAAAAGAAACTGTCTTCATGTGGGAAACAGCTATCACCAGTCACAGCTGCCTCTCTCTGTGTCCCTCTTTAAGATCCACCTCTCTGCAAAAGGCTTCCCTGACATATCCTAGCTGTGTTGTACACTCTCCCCAACTCCACAGCCTAGCAAGGCCCCCACCCTCACCCGTCACTGTCAGTTTCTCATTCAGATATGTCTATCTACTGTAGAATATAAGAAACCTCTGGGCTGTTCTCTGTCCTACATGGCTCCTAGCACACCATTGGTACTAAATAAATGTCAAGTCATCGTAACAGGACTCAAAGTCATTACCCTCCTAAGGCAACAATTACTGTAGAATGCTAGGACATTTGTGCTGTTCAGCTCTGTAGCTTTTCCAAATCTGTTCCAAGAAACTCTGGCTCTCCCAAGTGTAACGAACAGAGGAGAAAACTTGTGTGCCTTTAAAACTGCAGTCTTATACACAGTTGTGTATAATTCTCACTGAACTCAATAGAGTTTAATTCTGAATAGATATATCAAACTGTATGAGTTCTTAAACAGAAGCAAGTACGGCAGGAGATGGTCCAACATACACATCCTCCCCAACAGCCCGATGGGGGAAAATGGCACTACTGAACTCTTTAGACAGAAATAAATGATACAACGTACATAATGCTAATTATTGTCACTTACTGGGCCAAAAGCGTTACTGTCAAAGCTGTGTCCATGATGATCACCTTCTACCCATACATGGCCATGTGGAATTTTCACATACTTCTTTTTGTAACTTATGGTTCTAAAGACAAATGAAAGACAATGTTATTTGTACAAAAGAAGAAAAAAAGACTTCACCCCCCAAATTAAAACATATGCTCATGATTTATCACGAATTCAATGCAGTAAGGGTTACAGCCACTCGTTCGGTTCTTTATTTTCTTTCCAACCCAGTCCACACATAACCTTGCTAATGAAAAAGTTTGCATTCTGTAAGCATACCAGGAGCTCTTATTCATGCTCATGCTCAATCTGGCTTTCTTGCTAGAAAGCACATTTTGCATCTACAGCCTTAAATGTGGAAAGACATAGTTCCCCATCTCTGATTTAAAGCTTTGATTGTATTCTCTTTTTGGCTTAAAGAAAGGCTCTTGAACAAAGCTGCCAATAATAGAATCACAGAATAATAGAGTTGGAAGGGACCTATAACACCATTGAGTCCAACCCTCTTAAGGTAAGAATCCAGATCAAAGCATATCTAACACACAGTTATCTCATTTTCTCTTGAATGCCTCCAGCATTGAGCACTCACCACCTCCTGAGGTAATTGGTTCCATTGTCATACTGTTCTAACAGCTACAACATTTTTTCCTGATATTCAAACAAAATCTGGCTTCCTGTAGCTTGAGCCCATTATCACATGTCCTGCGCTCTGGACAATCATTCCTGCCCCTCCTCTGTATTTGAAAACTGCTATTATATCTGATGGGAACCTCTGACTCTTTTTTTTTGTCAAGACTAAACATGCCTAGTTCTTTCAGACTTTCTTCATAGGACTTGTTTTCCAGCCCCCTGGACATCCTTGTTGCCCCCCTCTAAACGTGTTCCAATTTCTTTGCATTCTTTTCAAAGCAATGTCCAGAACTGGACACAATACTCAAGATGAGGCCTAACCATTGCCAAATAGAGGGGAACTAGTATTTCATGGGATTTGGCAACTATACAGTACTTCTCTTAATGCAACTTAAAATAGCATTGGCTTTTTGGAGCCACATTACAGTGGTGGCTGATATTCAGCTTGTGCTCTACAACAGTTCTAAGATCCTTTTCACTCATAGTATTGCTGAGCCAATTATCCTGCATCTTGTAACTGTGTTTGTTTTTTCCCCTTATTCTTGTACTTTTCACTTATTCCTGTTCAGTTTTATTCTGTTGTTTTCAACCCAATGCTCAAGCCTATCAAGATCTTTTTTGAATTTTGTTTCTGCCTTCCATTGTGTTAGCTATTCCACCCAATTTGGTGTCATCTGCAAATCTGGTAAGCACTCCCTGCAACCCCTTATCCAAGTCATTAATAAAAATGTTGAAGAGAACTTAGCCTTGTGACACCCAACTTGTTACCTCTTGCCAATCTGAGAAGGAGCCATTGCTACGCTAATAGTTGAGTGTCTTACACTAAAAATACTCTTAACTGCTTTCTTTTGAATTGTGTTAGGAGAGAAAATACCATCATTTCTAACTTGAATACACTAACCGATTAAGCTGTGCCTCTTCAAAGATGAGGCACACAAATAGCATCATTAATCCTACACTAAGTTAACAAGTGTGTGCTCAGCATCTCCACGGAAATAGGTTGACACACACTCCAAAAAGGTAAGTTGCTGCCCTGCATAAAGGAACTTCTTGGAGGGCGATAGCCCCCAAATCTCAATTTGGCCAGGGCAAAACCTGTGCAAAAAAACTTGAAGAAATTCATAATACCATAATACCCATTCATTATTGTTTTCCAGTCAATAGGACATTAGTGCATACATGTCTTACACACAAGTACACCAAAACTACAGGGTTGTCATCCTGTGTGGTAACCAAATTGAGAAAATTCCCAGAGATTCATAAAACCAGCAAATTATGCTTGAATTGAGATGTGTACATTCAACTCAGCTGTATAAAGAGGGATATGAAGCATATGTCTCGGATTCATTGTCCTTGTTGATTTATGCTGTCTCAACTCAATGAGATTTAGAAGCCCTGTGAGGTTTCTTAGTTCGTGCTGAAAGAAAGACAGTTTCCTCCCTCATTAAGGTCCACATAATTTATGTAAAAAAGTCTTAGAATTAGTTTCTTTCTCCCACAGAAGCACACAGAAAGTAAATAAGTACAGATGGGCTGATTGTTAAGAAAGACACAAATAATCCATCCAATGCTCCAAATTCTAAAATGTCCATGAAACAAAGCAGCAAGGGTCCTGGTTTTATGTCAATTGTGAATGTTTTTGCAAACCCCACCCAGGCCATTTGTACAAAGCATGATTTGTACTGCTGCAAGAACACCTGTAGATTCATCATTGCATGTGTGAATTAAAAAAAGCATGCATAGTTCCTCATCTTCAGTTGTACGGATAGGACAATCACATCCCTAATCGAGAAAGGTCGAGAGAAGTGCCAGCATGCTCGGACACAAGGCTCACACATACTAATTTGAAATATGCTTGCCAAAACATAGCCAATCCAAACCATGACAAAGCTGTAGTATAAACAGTGGAAATAAAACTGGAAAGCAGAGGGATCATAAGGCAATGAATCATTGCCAGAGTACTGGAAGTGGAGAACAACGAAAGAAGTGAAGAACACAGTTGCACTGTCCAACATGTTTCCTCAAGCAAGCCATGGCAATTTTTGAGGTCACTTTGGGTTAATAAGACTTTGATAGTATTGGGTTTGGAGTGAAGGGAAATCAAATAAGCTTCCCCTGCTCCAGCAGAGCCCCTGTTGGACAAATCAACAATGAACTGGCTGTGCAAGGAATCACCCAACAGTGCAAGAATGTGCATGCATCAGGGAGTCTCCCAGAGTGTGAGGCAGGGAACAAAACAAGATATTGGTATACCTTTCCAACTGGAAAGAACGTATGCCTTATGGCTTGTGGAAATGGCAAAGAGGCACAAGCTAGCAATTGCTGAAACAATTTGAATGATAACTCAGATGGCTCATCAGAGGATTGAATCCAAGATTTCTGATTGAAGGCCTATCTGTCATGATCTTAATGATATACAAAACTATCAGTAAATAGATGGCAGAACTCTGCAGTTCTAGCCATGTTACAGTCTTCTTTATAAATGTGACAACACTAAATTTCCCTAAAGCTATTCAGGTCGTAGTTATCAAAACATAACAGATATAATAATGGATTTTTAAAAATGTCCTTTCAAGAAATCTCTGAAGAAACTAGAAGCGGCAAGTTAAATGCCTTCAAGCAGTTGTACTTTTGTTTTCAGTATCAGTTTTATAAAATGCTATGCAAGATGATTTACATCATGAAATATTCAGCATCGAAGAGCCGAGAACTTTCCCTTGTTTCCAGTCTGTCACATTAGGCTTTGTACAAGTTATAAAATGGTCATTAGCATGATCAAATACTTTAACTGGGATTTTCCTGTTGTATACATACAGTCACTCTGGCATTTAAAGCAATGCTTTTGATGCCATATATTTAGCCTCTCCCTCACACACACATTTTAATCTAGAAGAGCAGGTAGGACACACTGATCTGAAGATTTCATGCAATATAAATCAATCTGCAGGGGAATGTAGAAGAACTACACAAATTCTATGCTCTTATATGTTTTACATTCATTGATATATATGGGACCAGCCTGTAACAAAATGTTGCAGAGTTCAAAATATTCTCCTTCAGTATTCAAAGCTCTCTTCCAATATACTTCATCCCTACATCTGCACACACACACACACACACACACACACACACACACACACACACACACACACACACACACACACACACACAGAGATACATATCTGCTTCTGCAAAGCACGCTGATACTTCTCTCCTGTTTCTCAATAGCTTTGTTCTGGCTACGCATTTGTCACAACATAACACCTGAATTTGAAATTAGATGCTTACAAGATACATGGATTGCCAGATCTATTAATTACATTTTACTATTCCAGATTACATTTTAATCAATTAAATGAAGAGATGTATGAAACCTGACACTCTTATTTCCCAAGTATCCTGGTTATCCTGCACATAAATTTTTACTGCCTCTTATCTTCCCACCAGGATGAGTTTTCACAATGAGATCTAAGATACAGATGGATAACACTACATTTTCATTTTCATGATATTACCAATGGAATGGCCATTTGAATGAACAAAATGGGGCACAGACGTAAGACTGACACAAGCTCTGACGACCACATGGAAAGAAGTACCCTTTGCTCAGGAACAGCAAGCAGATAGCCATAGCTTGGATGCTGGGGGGTTACCCATGAATTGTCAGTCTTTTATCACTGAAATGAACATGGTAAAAGCAGGTCCTGGATATTTTATAGAGTTATTAAGACATGCACTTGTTGCATTGCCCTTAAGCACTCTGTGTAGTGCTAAATTGGTTCCTTGTACAGGGTTAGCTTACTCTCTGAAAACCACCAGAAAGTTTGATAGTCATTCAAATTACTCTGTTAGATATGTGCAGGGGAAGGGAAAGGTTTATGGAAATTCTTACAGATTTACATTGTCAGACTTCCCATGCCTTTTAGCAGTGCTTAGACCTAGGCCACCATAATTAACAGTCACTGGCAATCATTCCATGAGTCATTCATGCTAACAGCATCACTACAGTTTGTGACTATAAATTTCATAAATCACCTCATCATGTATTAGATGACCCCTTGAAACAGTATTTGTGTGTGTGTGTGTGTGTGTGTGTGTGTGTGTGTGTGTGTGTGTGTGTGTGTGTGAGAGAGAGAGAGAGAGAGAGAGAGAGAGAGAGAGAGCTGGAGAGAGAGTGTGTGAAATTACTCCCTGTCCACTTCCTCTAAAGTACACGTAATTTTATACAATGTGTGAAGTCCCTTATTTACTTGTTTTCTAATCTAAAAAGTCCCAAACTTTCCTCATAGGCAACTTGCTTCTGGTGTATTTTTACACCTTTTCTGTTCTTCAACATCGATTTTGAGGTGCAGCAACCAGAACTGCACAGCATTCCACGGTTTCTGTAGAGGTATTGGCCGAAATCCTGTTCCCTAAATTATGTGTGTGTGTGGCTGATGACATCTACAG